TATACTTACCCAAACCAAAAGGGAAATTACTACTACAGAAACCATACTTTGTACCATATAAGTACTTTGGACCCTTCGGGCTCATGTAATTTTCAACCCTATAATTCCTAAACTTATCCTCTGAAGCGTAAACCCCTAACGCGTATTTCCAGACCCTGACCGCTGCAAGGCCGAAGGATTCTGAAATTTAGAGCAGTTTTACGCGCAGCGGAATTCCGATCATATGCAAACACCACACTCTATGTTGAGGTGCTAGATTCTTGATATGGTTGGTACATAGCTAAATTTAAAGCTGCAGTACACATATGCTTCAGGACCACCCGCCCTGATAAACAAGCTGGTTCATCCGGATTTTCTGACTCCAGTATTTCCATCAGGTGTGCCACATGCATTTATTCAGGCGTCTAGAAATGATCATGTACACATCCCATACATCCTTTGCAGGGGCCGCTACAACTAAGACGAAACACCTGAATTCTAGAAGGGGCTTCAGGCCTTAAACTTGTTCCTTTAACTAGTTATAGTGTTCTTTTTGTTTCTTGTTTTGGTTTGCCCTTTGGAATGGCCCTTCCCCTTAGTGGCCTCAGGTGGACGGGAAGGGTGGATCGTCCTTCGCCTGGTCTCGCGTGGAAGAGTCTCAGCTTCCTGATCTGTGCCTCAATCAAAGATAGGTACTTGAAAGCACCTGACACCCTAGGCCCATAGGCCCTAAACTGAAAACCGGAAAGCAAATTTAAAGACCCTGAACCCTGACGCTTCAAACCGAAGCTTCGACCGTACAGCCCAAGCCCCAAAGGCTAAACCCACAACCTCGAACCCAAACTGAGAAACCTCATGTGCTATGAAGGTCGGCAAGCTTGTAATATTGTCCAGTACAACGGCTTTCACACTGCAAATGCAAATTACTTGTTTCATGCATGATCATACCATGAATGTTTTAAACAGCCTGGATGTGGAATGTGTTGACCTTAAACTAGTCCAAGCCCCAAACCCACTTGCTAAAAGAACACACAAAAAAAAAAAACAACTGGTCTACTCAGGTGGAAGCGTGCGAAGATCTGTGCTGGCTGGGAGCAGGCGCCCAACGCAGCTGCTCAGCTGGAAGGATGCCTGCACGGTTGCCGGCACGGTGACATGCACTAGCCTTTGTTCGCGGGTGTGTTCGATCACCATATATTGTAATAATATACATATTACCAGGGATTCGTTTGCTGCAGGGTTAATTATATTGGGACCATGCATCGAACGCTCGTGTTGCAGCCCACTATCGCAGTGACCGCAATATAGCTAGCTAGCAGCATCTAGGCTGAGCGAGAGTACGTGGATGCGATGCTCTTCGCAAGAAACAACGAAGCGGAAGAAAGGGAAGATATGGCGCTGAATGATGACCCCCGATTTCGCAGGGGGACCGGGGTGGGTACCAGATCGTAGGCTGCTACTTATTAGATTCTTAGATGATTTATTCAGCTAGAAAGCAGGTCCCATGAGGTAGCTTCCATCACAATACTATGTACACATATATATATATATTGCTATATTGATTATGTGAACCCAAATACCCTCACCCCACAAGAGTAGTAATACAACTAGGGCTAGATATTAGTAGCGCTAGTAAGACTACCAGTATAGCAGTCCGAGTAATACTAGTACGTATTATTGTTACTCTGACTATTCGTATCACTATTATTAATTACTATATATATGACTACTAGTGCAAATACTAGTACTAGCTGCTGCGGTTGCAGCTGCTGCTTTGCTGATGCAACGCTAGTACTTCTGATATCTGTGCCACTAGTGTACTATGCTATATTCATTCATGGCTGCTAGCAGGACAAGCCGAAGCTCCGCAGGAAGTGACTCCGTAGATGACGAGGAACCAGCTTTGCATGATGGTGCCGTGGTTTCACTTTTTTGGGTCCAGGGTTTAGGGATGTGTGGTTTGCTAGGCACTATGCAGCAGTCTTGAATCAGTCCACGAAATTTGCAGGCTAGGATCCACATTGAATGCACTCGAGCTCGACAGCCATATGCACAAGTAGCTCGCCAGAGCCCTATACGTCTGGAATCTTGCATGACAAGCCCCTGCGCAAGGATGTTGGCTTCGACGCAAGCCTGGGCGCGGCAGTGGTTCAGCTTCAGGACCTCAAGCTGGAGGTTCTAGGTGCTGCTGGTGAGTGAGTTCGCATCCTAGACCTAAGGGCACTAGTTCCCTGAAACATCCTAGCTACCAGGGGCATACTTCGAGTGCAATCGTATCAGGTCTTGGAAGTGTGAGCAACGTATGGGGAAGGTTCTGATCGCCGTTGCAGGAATTGGAGTCAAATAGCCCTTCCAACCGGTTGCCCTAGCCTACACCAAACCTGAAACCTTAAATAGTCAGGCTCATCTTGAATAGGACCTTTGTCGTTCTGCGGCGGACAGCACCCAAACCAAATTGGAATTTTGTGGCTAGGCTAGATCTGGCACTACGCGTACGTAGCCATGGGTTCTTACAGATAATGGCGTATGCTACACTAGTTGGGCCCTGAACTAATTCTACATAGCTAGGGTGTATACTTGCTCTAGCCTACTGCCCTCTTTTCTTGCGGAATGTGTGATACACACATTTCCTGTAGGAAGTGCATTGCACGAGACAGGTGTGCTTCCACACCGCACGAGACAGGTGTGCTTCCACACCGCGTCCACTAGTACTGGCCCTGAAGGCATCACGTGATCCCTGAAAAGTCTGAACAAGAGCGGTTGGCAGTCGTACGTACCCATGGGCTCTAATAAGTTGTTCAAGTAAGGTTTCTGTACCAGGAATGGTTGTTGTAGTTTCGGTCAAAAGTAATCCGCACACAAGTCTTAGGGACCGAGGCTGTGTGACTTGCAGTGCATCACTGGTCTCTCGTTTGTGCACATAGTCCCCCTGAAGTAGATGGAATATGGGTACATGGCGACCTTATTATAATATCTCTAAAGCCATCTTCTATCTACTGAAGGGGAACTACGCATGCAGTTGTGGCATTCACCTATTGCACGATCAGCGAATCCTATGCAGCTTCTAGCTCACGAGGAACCGTATTCACTGGACGGTACCTAGCGTGTTATCTTGGGATGCTGCTAGATGCAGGACCCCAGTAATAAGGAAAAACTAAACTGTGGACCCTTAGCCCAAAACCCTAACCCTTGAAGCCCAAATCCTGGAAGACATTAAGTGTTTGGGCTTCTGGTGTGGAGTACCCCTGAACTGGGATTGAGACAACTTTTACATAGATAGATTATATATAGATTTTTCGTTTATTGATCTGGCACCATCAACCTGAACGTATGCGTTCCGTAGGTGAAGCCAATGTGCACTGGTAGTAGCTGCACATGTAGAATGAACACCCAATGATACCCCAATGATATTAAACAAGCTTCTACGTACCCAAGACTTAGCAAGGCCAATAGCTTTGCTGCAGCTGCTGGAATACCAGACACAAGAATGTGCATTTCTACAGCGCCCAAATAATTTCCAACGTAGCCTGTATACAGAATTATTGCAATACATGTGGTTTGCTAAACTATTTGGGTACTGCATCTGTTAGCCTGTACGGAAGAAATGATTATAATCCCCAGGGGCTGATAATCAAATTGTCTAGCCTACAGTAAACCTCTGCTTCGGTTGAGATGCCGCCGAACGCCGCCCGAACGGGTGCACTCCGCCTGTCGGCAAAGCAAACGATGGCCATGATATACTGGGGCGTGCCTGCCATGTTGTTCCTTGTCTTAATAGAATTCGAATGTATCAGAGTCCACGGGAAACCCGAAAGCCAAATCTTAAAGCATATAAGTTCTACACCTTGAACCCTGAAGTCTTAAGTCCTAAACCCTGGTAGACCTTTAAATTTATAAGCACTGCGATCCATGACGCCCCTGATGGGGTATAGGGAGCAGGTTTCCTGTGTTAACAGGCAAATTGTATATCAGCCAGCTACTTATAGCTTATTATATATTGAGTCTCATCAGGAACAAGCTTTAAATGCCAGGGTCCAATGATACATGTGCATGTAGTCTCAGCCCTACAGAACATGCATTATACAGGGTGCGTTTACAGCCTATACAGCGGCTAGTGTGGTTCTAGAACCCATGCAATCTGCCGTGCTGATAGAACCCATGCAATCTGCCGTGCTGAACTTAGCATTCACCTGGTGGACCTGGCAGCTACGTATGCGGAGGGCAGCCGCGATTCTTGGAGTCGTATTAATAATACATGCATGTGATTCCGGTACGAATGCAGATCTATCACGTTCAGGATGTGGATGTGGTGGAGTTCTTCAGTGGGGTGGGGGCGATCTACCGTGCTGCTTGATTTTAGGCTGCAATCAAATCATGCTGTAGTATCGAAGGCCGGTACCCATGCTCGAAGCTCGAACTCAGGTGAGCAGGGTCTTAATGCTGCGCAATATGATGTTCAGCGGAACGATGCGGAAAATATGTGCAGCTTGGAAGGCTTCATATTGGCGATCGTGCCTCTCGGAATTTGAGTATCACGCACTGCACGCATGTGACCAGTTCTTCAACTCCAGCTAGGGAGCATTATGTGGTCATGAGGTACGTGCTGAGATGCAAACCATCTGGACTCATACACTTCGGCCTTCCTTGTGATTCATTTATATGGATCAGCAAAAGCGGCCATAAAAGGTCAGGCCAGAATCCATATGGCAACACCACCCGTCAGGGCGTAAGGCGTGGCAACATCTTACTTTGCAGAAGTATGCTACTGGCAATTTTGGCCACCGTCCGTCGATGCTTTTGGTTCCTGGAGAACCCTGGCTCCTCTTTCGTCCCGCAAATGCCAGAGGTGATTCATGTCATGTCGTGGGCTGAAGCTGTTTTCAATCATTACCACATTTACTGGTGGCCTAGCTGAATTCTGTGTGCAAGTTGCGTACTGGGATTGCTACTCATCCTACTTGTACTGCCAAATCAGGTTTCAAGGATGCTTTGGCGCGTGGTCGCCTAAGAGATCGCTCGGTGTTGGAACAGCACCATGGATGCCGATGCTAATGCATACTGGTACGAGGCGCCATGATCGTAATCTAGCGCCCATTCATGATATGAAGTTCTACGGCAGGATGTCCAAGAGCTTGCGGAAAGCGCTCACGAACCTAGTCCGAAGACGTGACCTAGAGATGACCAAGAAATCTCGCAATGCTGCCGGCAAGCTGGTCGTGTGGCTAGTTTGCATATCATGTACCTGTTGGAGATAAGGCTGTTATAAGAGCGCCGTGTACCAATAGGCTAGAAATCTTAGATTCGGTGTTTTGCGGTTGAATCACACGTTATAATCCTAATAACCGCTTCTCTGGGGTACTGTACTTAACTCTCGTTGCAAGGTGTCTTTGGGCAATTATATTTGTTGCATTGGTTGATCATCAGATTAGAATGGATGCGTAGTAGGTATACGCATATATTATATATAGATCTGGCTACCCTCTCGAAACCCTATAGCTCGAATCATATATGGATGGTCCTAACTATATATATATATACATATGTACCAGGCCCACACTTTAAATTTACAGGTGCTCAGACCTCGTTTTTTCCTAATAAGGTCTGGTGGGAAAGACTTGACGAAGAGCGCCGCTTACCCGAAGAGCTTTGGCATATTCGTCATAGAGCAACATATGAAGGCCCGTGTTCACACATTATTTTGAAAGCCTAAACCCTAAACCCCAGACCTTGCTGTGTAAGATCAAGAAAACTACAGCACCCTAAACCTTCAACCCTAAAGATTGAACCCGAACTAAACTCAAGACCCTAAAGCTTTAACCTCAACTCAAAAAAAAGCTCCCTTGGAACTGAAGCCTGCCTGCAGCCCCTGCAGATCATGGCCAACACCGACCCAATTGACCTTGAGTCCATGCTGCGGCTGAAGCAGGCGGCGCCCCCCCTCTGCTGCTTTAAGTTTGCAAAGCTTGAGAAGGCCCAAGCTTCTTGGCATCATTCACGTCTGTACGGAGTTACATGTCTAGCTCTAGAAAGATGAGGCGGAGAAATGCAGGTCATGCAGGTCACATGTGGGTTTCTTGTATGTAAGAGATGCCAGGGATACTTGCCCCAAATAGGTCCCTTCTGAACGCGTACAAATGTACAATTGCCCATTTGAAAGTCTGCTGCTGGGTTGGAATGCTTGTACTCGACATGCATGAACCAGGGTTCTGGAACTATTAATTGTGTTCTAGTGGAAATACTCATTATTGAGAGCTCAGGCTCACATGGAGAGTTTGATGACACGCGGAGAATTCTCTGCAGATGAAGCGATCCCGTGGAGTTTGGAGCCGGTGACTCTATAAATGCATCCTGTGAACTGCAGGTTGTTCTCACAGCCCGATGTTAGCAGTTCCTTGCACGAGCCTTGAGGTACCCTACTCGAAGTTTACAGGACCTATATATATATACAGACCACAATTCACCCACTAGTTCTGGACCCTCCTTGTATCCATCGGTCATGGAAAATTCAGAAGCCCGGTTTCGTACGCCCCACTAGCTCCAATTATTCGGTACTTAATGGTTTAGCTGTCGTCATCTAAGCTACGAAACCCCAGACCCGCAATCAAGAACCCAAGACCTGAAACCTCGAACCCCAAACGTTGAACATCCAAAAGCTAAATCAGGGTGGGGGTACAGATTCTATCCTCCAAGGTAATAGCTACCAAACTTTCAAAACACGTAGTGCAGTGGTTATACTAAAGCTGTAGTTGTTTGACGTGTCCAGGTACAACACAGTTCTAGTGGCTGTCTGTGCCAATCATGAATGGTCCAGAGAACTTCGAATGTTTCTGGGGCTGCCATGACCCAAAGGTCCTACGTGTCTACTAGCGAATACTCCCCCAGACTGGGCTACCAATGACTACGATGAAACCTTGGTTCCTATATTAACAATGTAAGTATGTAGGACCCTTTGGGATTATTCATAATTGGCCTGATGGAGTCCACCAATTGTGCGCTGCTGTGTGCCCGAGGCACCACATGCATACATAGTGCTGCTACTGCAAGGACGAGACTTCATTGCCTAGACTGCAATTCTTGCATGCAGGCAGTAATAAGGCGTGAGCTCTTATAATTAGGGAGCAGGATGATCACGGGGTTATCGGCATCCTGGACTTGCCAGCACCCATGCTTGCGTCTGAGTGTCGCGACATTGCAATGATGATGCATGCGTGGCAGAGCAGCTGCCGCTGCCCAATCCAGCTTTGCTGAATCCCTAGGCTCAGCTGAAGGAGAGTTTGGTTGTAGCACTTTACAACGTAACAGGATCCTGAATCCAGGCCTGGGTCTCGAATAATGGGTTATCTAGCTACATCTCGATTATAGTATACGTCATCTATATATGCTATACAATTTTATTAAGCCCTGATGAGTTTGCACCTAGCTACAGAAGCCGTACATGGATCATGTTTTACTCTCGAGGGCAAAGAGGTTACTCAGCGATCTCGGGCAGGGTTCATTGGGGGCTGGGCATTATTGAGCGGGGAGCTGGGCGCTATTGGGCGTTATTGGGCGTTATTGGGCGTTATTAGGCGTTATTGGGCGTTATTGGGCGTTATTGGGCGTGATTGGGCGTGATTGGGCGTTATTGGCGTTATTGGGGGGCTGGCGTTATTGGGCGTGATTGGGCGTTATTGGCGTTATTGGGGGGCTGCATGGGCGTTATTGGCCGTTATTGGGCGTTATTGGCGTTATGGGGCGTTATTGGGCGTTCTTGGGCGTGATTGGGCGTTATTGGCGTTATTGGGGGGGGCTGGGCGTTATTCAGCGTTATTGGGCGTTATTGGCGTTATTGGGGGGCTGCATGGGCGTTATTGGCCGTTATTGGGCGTTATTGGCGTTATGGGGCGTTCTTGGGCGTGATTGGGCGTTATTGGCGTTATTGGGGGGGCTGGGCGTTATTCAGCGTTATTGGGCGTTATTGGCGTTATTGGGCGTTATTGGCGTTATTGGGCATCTGGGCGTTATTCGGCGTTATTGGCGTTATTGGGCCTTATTTGGCGTTATTGGGCGTTATTGGGCGTGATTGGGCGTTATTGGGCGTTATTGGCGTTATTGGGGGGCTGGGCGCTATTGAGCGTTATCGGGCGTTATTGGCCGTTATTGGGCGTTATTGGGCGTTATTGGGCGTTATTGGGCGTGATTGGGCGTTATTGGGCGTTATTGGCGTTATTGGGGGGCTGGGCGTTATTGGGCGTGATTGGGCGTTATTGGGCGTTATTCGGCGTTATTGGGTGTTATTGCCGTTATTGGGCACTTTCTCATTTAAGGCTCAGTGTTCAGGATCCTCACGTTCCAGGGGGTCACCAGCTTGCGCTGAACATGGCCTCCAAATCTGAAGTGTCCCCAAGCAAGGCGGGAACAATACACATGTAGAAGAGCTAGCCTGCACTGGAAACTATGCAGGCGGCGAAAACGCGGCGTGATCTTGTCAACGACGAGGTGGCCAAGGCTTTAAAAGCTGCCGGGCTTCGGGTGGACGAGACCGAGGTGTCCAAAGCTTTAAAAGCTGCCGGGCTTCGGGTGGAGGAGACAGGCCGGGTTACTAGCAGACGTAACAGATGGCAAACTTCATCAGGTATAGGCTTGGAACAAATGCAGTCTACAAGAAAAATCCTATAATGCTAGGTATAGTCATAATAATCATTACCACCTCATGGGTTGGGAGTATTCAAGCTATTGTAAAGGAATAAGGGTGCCCCTTAATTCTTTGGGTGTATGTGTGTATACAAAAAGTTGCCGTGTGACATGACAGCACTAGCGAATGAAGAAGGTTCAAATGATTGCAGATCTACATTTCGGGAATGAACTTTGAGTCAAGTTCCCAAACCCACAACCCAAAACCCATAACCCTGAACCTCTAACATAAAACCTAGGATGCTTTACCCCACTATTAAAACTTGGAACCCTAAAGCTCAACCCTTGTAATTCTCAACCTTTGCGGACGGAACCGAAACATGTTTCTGCGTGTGAGAAGCCTGTGCCTCTTTGATGCAACAATCCTTTCAGCTTTGCATTGGCAGGTGGACTGCCCTCGACAGGTGGAACAGGTGATGAGCATGAAGGGCCAGGTGCTCGCGTCAAGATCACCAAAAAGACCTCGCCTACAGCCCTCACTCCTGCTCCCAAGAAGGTGAATCCTAGACCCCCTCCGCCTTTCCCATGGCCATGCAAGCCGGAGACTCTTGCTTCCCCCATGAAGGCTTCCAAAGGTACCTTATCTCATCTTATGGTCTAGCATATTTAACGGTCCCATCCTCAAGAGCACTGTGTGGATGAATTCGCCAAGGTACTGTAGTGGCAAGACCACTAACCGTGGTGCCTGCAAAGGCAAAGGCGGAGTTCGGTGACGAGCAGCAAGCGGCTGAAGGGGGGTCTACCAAGCCTTCAGAAGCTACAGCCCAGTCCACCCCGAAGAAACTTTCAAGGAGTCGTGTGGCAACATTCATGGCTACCTCGCCCAAGGATGTGGATATGGCGCCAGGAAGCGCAGGCAAGTCTCCCCTGCCGACCCCTAAGAGCACGCCTGTTCGCAGCCCACCGACCAAGAAACCTAAGCCAGCAATCGCAAATCCCAAGAACCTCTTTGGTGACCAGGACCCTTGCAAGTTCGTTGCAACTTTATACCTCTCTACGTTTAAGTACTTGAGGCTTTGGGGATTAGGGCTTAGCTTAGGGGCTATAGCTATAGGGCTTATATAGGGTTTAAGATTTCCCGCCTCATGTGTCAACCCGTGCAAGGATGATAGCGCTGGCTTGGCCGCAGCTGCAGCATCCAGCGCTAGCACCTTGGAAGGATGGTGGATCCCGAACCCTGTATATACTTCCCATATAGCCTAATGCCCTGGGTTCTAATTAATGGCAGCTTTTGAAACTTGTCAATTTGTTGTTGCATTGCGGGGCCATACTTCAATACCGAATTCTTCCAGTAACGTTGATTCCAAATGTACCTGGATCCCATGGGTTTAGTTTGAAGTTTCTCCTGTCATATGTTGGGCTAGGTCTTCAGCGTCGTCCGGATTCTATGACTACTGTGGGAGAAGATGAATTCATGGATGGGACCTCGACGCTACCAACAGGAGGATCTGCTCCCGGAAGCTTACCCAGCATTGCCGAAGGACCTGAGGCCTGTAGACTAAAGACCACCTACCTAATAAGTGCTACACACCTTGAGTCAGCCCATATCCTATGGGGTAATGTGTTGAAATCTAAATTGTTGAAATCAGCCCATACATTTTACGTATATTACATTCGCCTACTCATGCATTCGCAGGCTGGACGAGCTCCAGAGGATGTACCTTCTTCACAGGATGCTCAGCAACCTCTAGAGGAACCCCTGGAGTTGCCAGAAACCCAAGTTGAACAGGAGGAGAGCCGGGAAGAGATTCCACCCGGCCAGCCACACGGAAACCTGCAAAAACTGGACATGGAGCAAGACGTGCCTCCACCTCATGGCGCAGCCTGGAGCCAGCCCAGAGCAGAATTCCGGAAAAGGCAGCGAGCAGCAGAATCCACACAAGAATCCTGGAGCCACAGCAAAGCAGAATCTGGGAGGGGCCCACCGAGAGCAGCATCCGCACGAGAATCCTGAAGCCACAGCAACGCATCTGGGAGGGGCCCACCCAGAGCAGAACCCGCAGCAGATTCCTGGAGCCGCAGCGCAGCAGAATCCACGCAAGAATCCTGAAGCCACAGCAGAGCAGAATCTGGGAGGGGCTAGCTTACATGAGGGATCTGGCACAAGGCAGAATCCGGGCCAGACGCTAGATTTTGCAGCAGCAGCAGCAGCAGAACAGAAGGCTCACGAGGCTAGCTTGCCAGCTCATCCAACTACCGGTCAGGGTGCGGTTTACACGGCTGTGGCATCGGGTGCGATTGCTGACCTAGTGTTTAACCGGGCAAGTACCTTTGAAATCAAGAATCATCTCTTGGAGCTCAAAGAGGACGAAACTGATGATGATCGGCTATTTCGAATTGCGCACATGCTCTACATGCGAATGAACAGATCCTTGAAAAGCCCCTCGGATGCCTAACATCATGAAGTTTAACCCTATAAAACCCTAACCCGTAATCATCAACCCTAATAATAAACCAACTACTTAGGCCTGATCTCTGCTAGCTTGATACCTATACGATCTTTGCAGCTGTAAGGCCAGTCCTGCCCGCCAGAGGTTCTTGATGTCGTGCGCAAGACCCACGGAGCCTCGGCTGGGCGTTGCATCTTCCTAGGGTTCATTTCTAAAAGGTTTCCGGGTGTTTATTTTTCTTAATATTTATTATATCATATGATATTGTCGGGTTTAGGCCTTCGTGGTCCACCCGTTAGAGTAGTGGGATTCGGGTTGAGGGGCGGGTCTGCTGCTGGCTGGGGTTGGATGTACCCTAAACCCTGAACCCTACGCCATAAACCCTAAGCGAGTGCCTGCTATAATGTATAGATGGCCCTGTACACTTGTATATATGAAGTAATATACAACCCTTGAGCCCCAGAACACCATGTACATATCCCAGATCATGACTCGAATACTTACAACACAGAATTTCAATTCTCAACGTAAGAGTACTTGTCACTAGAACCCCGGTATTCCCTAAAGAGCGAGGGTTAACAGTATCCATTGGGTCCTAGCTTTCTACTATCGGGTTTGGGGAGAGTCTCCTATACGGGATATATATATATACACAAATCAAGAAAAAAATCGAATTCATGTATCCCGCCTTATACCCGAGCTCTAGTACTGATACTAAATACCGGCGCTAGAAGCTTGCAATATTGAGGTGCATATTTGGGTCCTAGGGGCTATACTTAATAACTCGCATGCAGCCATGCCTAGCAAATCCCACAAGTCTTCTAATCAGTAGTGCTACCACTAGCAGTTTCATTTCGGGGGGCCTTGCAACCTGCGTCCTATATATTATAAGGACCGCGCAAACTCGAACAATTGTTCATGGAATACTTGCAGTGCTCCGGCCGATGGCTTCACAGCCGCATCGTGTTGGAGGCATCCCAGACTACAAGCAAGGAGGTTCACAACGAAGAGGAATATGTGCGGTTTAAGGACCTTCGAGACCGTGAGGGCGAGGCGACAGCCAACATCATCAGGCAGCAGAAGATTGAGTTACAGGCCCAGCTTCAAGCTCAAGACCCCCAGGCAGCGATCGACACCCCATGGATTGCCTCTCACCCGGACTTACCGGGCAACAAGGACTTCCCACGTTAATCCTATAAACCCTGAAGAGTCTTTCAACGCACTAGTGGTCGACGGCGTACTGAGGTTGGCACATAGGGTTTATTTAGTTTGGGTTGTGTGGTAGCTATTGTAAGTACAGGCAGCAAGACCTCACATTGGAATGCTAGCATGGCGCAGGATTGGGACATGCTGAGGATGCTTGCGAAAGCTGGTATCCGTGGCTCCAGCAAGCATGATACGCGGACGTCTCTGAATGCTGGTTTGGATCTCGATGGGGACCAGACGCGTCAAGTGATGTCGCCTGTTTGATTTACGACGTAGTATTTAACAATCCCAACGTTGGTCTCAATTATTAGCTATAGATAGAGCTCGCATATCCCTCAAAATTCTGCAATGTGCATGCTTTTGGAACCTTTGGGGATCGAATACATTTATCAAGACAAGCTTGTGTGTGTAAAGGCTTCAAACCTAAGGGTTGGAATCTATGGCTCTAGGGTGGTGGGTTGGAGGTTCAAAGCGTAAATGTTTTAGGGTTCGGACTTTAGGGTTTCAAAACCCTAAACCCTAAACCTTATAAATGATCAGGGCTGAGGGCTGTGAACCACATATGCTCAGGCCCAGCATGCTGCCGTCGGGACCCAGCTCATCCTCCGCTGGAGTGGTGCGCGCCAGCTCCACCCCAGCCGTGCCGAAGCCGGCAGGTTTGTTGAGCCTTGGATCAGCAGAGGACATAGCGGCAAAGGCGCAAGAGCTGAAAGAAGCCCGGAAGAAGGGGGGAAGCAAGACTGCCGTGACAAATGCGGCGAAGGCCAAGATCAAGCTGGGTGCGGAGAAGATTGAGGACATACAGGGCCTCAAGGAATCTTTGCCAGGGGTGCCGGAAGATGTTCTGTAGCTTTGAGGCAGTACAGGTAATAAGCGACATATATGCTAGTGCTAGAACATTTTTCCCTGCAAACCCTAATTCCAAATGGCTTGTATATAGCTAGCTAGTCCTAGGTCAATCCCCCTGCGCAATGGCTACCTGGCGGATCTCGACATCCATGCGGCTTCCATTACGAAAGCATCTTCCCAGCTTCAGAGTGAGATGGATGCGGACGAGCCCAACGGTGACATCTTGAAAAGCTTGGGTGAGAACTTGAACGATCTTGTAAAGAACTACAACAAGGCGGCTACAGCTATCAGGAAGAAGATTGTGCTTTGCCTGAACGTAACGGAAAGTAATTACATTAATACTGGCAACTTGCAAATTCTCCTCATGATTTAGGGTTTAGGCTTTAGGGTTTAGGGTTTAGGGTAACGCTGGAACCTCCGGGCTCCTTGCCGTAACCTATATCTATATATATTCAGTGCCCTACTTCATGAACCGAATATAACCTGATCGCAAATTCGCCCCCTGAGTCTCCAGACGACTACTAGTACTCTGATCAAAGGACCCTCCGAAGCCCAAAGCGAAGGCGAAGGGCAAGTCGAAAGCGGCCGCGAAGAGAGCCGCCAAAAAATGATCCTGCTGAACCCAGCTTTTCCCGTATCTTCATCGGCTAGCAGCCTACTTGAAGGAATGCGTAGTTGTGGCTCAGGTTGCGTTGTTGATCTGCCTGTACAGTAACCCTCCGAAAAGGGTGAGCGTATGTAAGTTTCCTTCCCCGGAGTATCTTCAGGTTGATGGATTCCCAAATTAAAATTTTGATGCCCCATCTACACAAAATTCAAACAAGGGTCCCAAAACCAAATATCTAAGTCTTCAACCTCAAGCCCTAAACCTCGAAGCCTCAAAGCTAAACCCCAAATCCTCCACACTGAACCTTCCTTATAAATCAAAGGGTCCAAAGTACTTATATGGTACAATGTATGGTTTGAGGAGTAGTAATTTCCCTTATGGTTTGGGTAAATATTCCCCATATGAGTACTTAGGACCCTTTGTATAAGCTTAGCTAGGATAACGGCCCTGAATCTGGTTTTAATGAGCGGTCTGTGCAATCAGTAGTACATACGACTGTACAGAGGCAGGCTTGCAACGCGGCTAGAGTGGTGCTAGGGACGCAGCTCCACTCGAGAGTCCCCTACATGTGACTCCTACTTGTAGTGTGGCTTTAAAGCAACAATTCTGACAGCACAGTGCGACTTGCACGCGTGGGTTGGATCCTATGCGCTGTACGCAAGACCACCATTTCTCATGAGAAGAAAGATGTTGCGTGCTGTGTGTCTCGAGGATCCACATTGCAGCTACTACCATGTATGCATGCGTGATCTTACCAGTCTGTGCCACGCAGGTGCACAGGAAGGATACGGACCCCTTACACGCCACATTCTAAAAGCTTGCGGCCGCGGAGCCCGGGCCCTACCTATATTGCATCTGTCCTGTGTAATGCACTTCTCCTTGACCCGTACACCACCTGGGCAGGATCTGAGTTATTGCTCGGCGCGTGAAATGCTGGGCGAGAGCAGCAAGGATCCTTGCAGGTTTTAGTAAGGAGTACAGCGATCAGTATAAGTGCTAGCTACCCAATAGTATGTGGGTGTGTCTGGATGTGTTTCATGTGCCCTGACACAGCCCAGGGCCCACGACCTATCTGGCTTCTGTCTTGGATCATTGTCCTCAAAAACTCACCCTTTAGCCGAGCAAGCCCTCAACCCAGATCCGGAACCCTCGAGCATAATCCTAGCCTCAACCTTACACCTTTTATCGCTAACTCAATTTATAAGTTATAGGCCTAGTACAACAAGCGCTTGCCCAAATCCCAGCATTAGCTCCGTCTACCAACCCAACCAATAATATACATATAATTGTTCATTCAGGCAAACCCATATGGGACTATTTCAATTTAACCCTTCAAGAACTGGTTAACTAGCCTCTAGCATAACGGTTTTTTTGGGGTGTTTTTCCCTCCTGTCTGCGAAGGAGTTGAAGAGACATGGTGTGGAGCTGCAGGGACCGGCAGCAAAGTTGGTCAAAGCCGGGTCAAATGGTTCATGGCCTTCCAACATCGAAAGAGATATGCTGACTTCCCTGACGGCAGGAGGCGGCCTCAAAACTGCAGCGTTGTCAGCACTATGTTCCACCAGAGTCGGAACATGTTTTAGCCATGGGTTGGAGTATTCCCCTGTTCACAAGCTTTAGGCGGGCATATATCTCTCCAGCATGTTATAAGGTACCTCTTCATCTGGTGACGGTGCCCATGAAGACTTCGCTGACCAACGACACTGTCAGATACCGGCATCTCATGATCATGGATTCCTTTGGTTGATAGATATTGGCAAGGTCTTAAATATTTAGGTTTTCGGATTCAGGGTTTGGATTATATTAGGTCATGCTAGTATATACCCTGGGTCCAAGCGCAAATGGGAAGAGAAACTCGGAGAAAACCCAAACCGTTACAGGCCTGCTCTTTAAATACGTATGTGCCAGACCCACCTCAATCCCGAAATCTTTTAAAGCCCAACTCTCCAATCGACCCTGAATGCTGAGAGAATCTTCCGAGAACACTATGCCTTAAGGGTTTCATGTCCACACTCGCACATTAGGCCCTGAATTCGGGGAATGCCATGAGATGTGGGAATCGTGTTAAAGCGTTTAAACGCTCCAAATTTAAAGCGATAAGATCCCCCCAAAAGCCATACCCCTCAATCTGAGCAACGTAACCACGATTCATGTGTTTTGGCGGAAGCCCCCAAAAGCCGCATAATAAAATTAGCAATATCCTACGCCTAAACCACCCAAGTAAGTGATATGTATATATATATAGGAACCCCTGCAAATTGTCCATGGCATCGGGTTATATGAGGACATTCGCAAAATGCTCAAATGAGCTACGGTCTATTAAGTCCCCTATATTTGATAATCCCCCGCATACGCTATATTATTCCGTATATATAAGCCTTAATTGGTCTATGGCCCATATATACGTAGATATACCACTCACAATCCCGTGAAGAGATCTCGTAACCTCCCCCTATAGGCAGTCATGAGCTTTCCTCTGACCCATTGCCAGTAAGTACGCGTCATACCTAGGATCGAATACCCCCAAGAACCGGGAAACCTATATTATCCCAATAATATATGTACGAACCAATCCCAGGCAGCTTCCCGTGGTGCTTCCACATGAGGTGCTCCCTCATGTCATCGGCAAGATGAAGAAGCCTGTGATGGAGCGGGCTCAGTATTGGCGCCATATGGAGAAGTATACACCCTGGGCGGGTCTAGGGCAAGAGGGCTACCTGCCTGTGTTCTTATATGGTGACGATGCCCGCTACAACAAGCAAAGCAAGCTGACGGTGGTGTACATGGGGATGGTAACCGATGAGGAAGGTTCCAATTCGATGATGATGTATTTTCCTTTATTCCTTGTGAACGAGGCTACCTTCGGGGTTCTAGACCAGAGCCCTTACATAAGTAATTTCTACACTCGGCCTGAGTCCGCTAGGAACCACTGTTTTTCCTAAATCAAGGTTTTGTAGCTATATAGCTAGTATAGGGTTTATTACGGATTAGGGTTGAGCCAATTCTGGCAGTGCTGTGTGTTGGAGATTTTGCTTGCTGCCCCTGAGACCAGGCGCTCTCAACTGGATTCGAGACTCTCCAGGCCTTTATGAGCCCCGTTCCTCAGTATTAATAGCAAAACTTTTCCGGATCATGTGAAAGCAATCCAGAACTCACGTTCTCTATAGATTTAAACGTTCATCAACCGGTCCCCCTGCTTATCATATATGGAGATTCCCCCAATCCCATAATCATTCTGAACAAAAAATCTATATATATATATATCTACCTTCCACTAATAAGCAGGTTCTGTAACCCATATAGACCAACCAGATCTAGCTAAGGTGGTAGCATCATTGAACCTCGCCTACAACGGATACCTGCCCCTGCAACCGATCCTGCGCTCCGATGGCTGTTGCCCTGATCTAGATCCTCCCGCCTCCACGGCTCCAATTCTTCGGCTACCAGATGGCGAGATCCTGAAGGTACGATTGACAGAGTTGAGAGGAGATTGGAAGTTCTACAAAGCACTCTAGCTGCATGTTAGATC